CTGGAACTCCACCAAAGACAGCACCCATGCAATACACTAATATGGCTTTGGTTGAGGTGAATGAACAGGCCAGGCTGAAGAGTTGTGGAGGGTCACAAAAATAATTGGGAATTTCCACATCAATGCAGAAGTGAAGATGTGACACCATCAAGAATTGTAACTGGGCCTCCAAAAGACTGATGAAAATGGTTATCAAAAGCAGCAGACCGCAGACACAGGGGTTCATAATGGATGGATAGTGCAGGGGGCGACAAATAGCCACGTATCTGTCATAGGCCATTGCGGTGAGGAGCAGACAGTCCATATATCCAAACAAATGTAAGAAAGACAACTGGAACAGGCAGTCTACATAGGAGATGATATTGTTGCGTGTGTGGATGACATTCAGCGTCTTTGGGACTATCGTGGAGGTGAAAGCGATGTCAGCAAGGGACAGGTTACCCAGGAAAAAGTACATGGGTGTGTGAAGGTTGCTGTCCCGGCTGATGGCCAGGATAATGAGCAGGTTCCCAAGCACTGTCACCAGGTACATGAACAAGAATATTCCAAAGAGAGGGTACTGCAGATCTGGATCGTTGGAGAGGCCCATGAGGAGGAATATGGGGGCACGTGATATATTTTGTGGTTCCATGTAGGACAGACACCTTGAGAAAAAGAGATGAAAAGCTCAGAAAACCAAATGTGTTAGTGGACAAGCAGGTAGGGTTTTATATTTTTATACTGGAGATTCAAAAGTTAAACATTCATATTTGTGTATCATATGTCACCAATTGCAGTATTTCCTTTTCGGACAAAACCATACTTCTCAGAACTCTTGTTTATTTACTTTACGTAACCTGTGTTTCCAGTCCATGGTCTTCGCAGTCTCTTGCTACACATCAGAGGGCTGGACAATGACTAAGGATGACAGAAGAAGAATTGAGTTGTGGTGCTAGAGAAGAGTGTTAAACATACCATGAACCACCAAGAAAACAAAAAGGTCTTTCTTGGAGAGGGTGAAACCAAGTTTCTCTCTGGAGGCTAGGAATTTGAAGATGCGTCTCATATACTTTGGGCACATGGCCAAGAGAGACCAATCCTTGGAGAAGGAGAAGGAGAGGGTGGAGGGACAGTGCAGGAAAGGAAGGCCCCCGATGAGATGGATTGAGACAGTAACTGGGGCTATGGGGATAGGT